TTTCAAAAATATATATGGTTTTGGGAGGAAAGTTCCGTTGCTCTACTCATGCTGCCATCTTGGCTCCTCCCCCTGACTCAGTGATTTTTGTGGGCTATTTCCCAGGCATACAATTGTAATTCAGTTCCAATTTCTGGGGCTATAGTAGGAACACTGAAATTAGTCAAAGAGAGCATTGGTTATCACATTATGTAAAAGAAAAACGAAGGAAAACTGTCTACTCTACTAGTATTTACAAAGGAATTCTACCAGGAAAGTATGTATTGTTAGATTATCGTAAGTAGAGTAACATCAGATGGTAGGACAGAAACCAAGCTAAGTATCAGCTCTTGGAGAAAAGTCTTCAATTGAAATAGAAAAGTTTGCTTTCCAAAACGTTTCCTTGACTTTACTTACATTCATCTGCTAACTATAAAACTAGTGGATTCCTTCATGTGGTTTGTTCTGTTTCCAGACATATGAACATCTTGTGTTCACAGTTATCAGATGATTGCTGGCATGTGGGAAGAAACTTAGCTTATAGTTGGTACACAAAATTGCCCCAGACCAGTATTCTTAAACTTTTTGATCTCCAGATCCATTTACATTACTAAAAATTATAAAAGACTCAAAAGAACTGCTGTTTGTGTATGTTAATCTATAAATGTTTACCCAACTGGAAACTAAAACTGAGAACTTTTTAAAAATACTTACAAACTCATTTAAAAATAATAAGCCCATTAATGTTAACATAAATACATATATATTTTCTGAAAAATAACTATTTTCCAAAACAAAATGAACTTAGTAAGAAAAGCAACATTAGTTTATGTTGTGTAAATCTCTTTAATGCCTGATTTGTTATAGCCAAATTCTAATATCTGCTTCTACATTCAATCCATTGCTATATCGCACACCACATAGCCCCTGGAAAACTGTAGTGTACAAGGGAGGGAAGGTGGGAACATGGCAGCTAGAATGTTAAGAGCTATTGAAATAATTTTTACCTCTGGGACTCTTTGAAAGGATCTCAAGGACCACCAGGTAACACTAGAAAGCATTTTGAAAACCACTACCCTAGACTAAGTTACACCAATGGTTTTCAACACATTTTTCATTGTAACCCATGTAATTTTCTCATGCACATTTTCAGGGATGTCCTCAGATATTAACTAAACAAAAAGAATGTTTTGATCATTATGCAAAATAAATAATATCAAACATTTTTGGGTGTTGGAAGAATAGTATGGGGAAGAGTGGTCATCTGAAGATGTGTGGTATTCACAAAAGCATTTTATATGCTTGTGGGAAATAGGCACTGGGTTATGAAAAATGAGCAATTCCTAGCATCCTGTTGGCAACTCCTTTATTGTTGATTCAATGAAGCAAAATTGAACGTCAGTGACAGTAACATTGTTACAAAGATACCTTGAATCCGTTAGGTTCTGATTTATTTCTTTAAGTGATTTAAAAGTTTGGGCATTTTAACAATTATTGGAAACTGATTACTTTTAAAAACACTTCTGACAATATTGAGATGTGCTGTCCTGTATTATCCACAGAAATTTACCACCATCTTTCAGTTGACTGGTGGAGGTGGAGTGCATATTGTTCCACACATTCAATTCTCCTCTATAGAAAACTGACAAAAAACACGTCTTTACCATTTATATATTATTTAGTACATAAATATGTGTGCACATATTCATTCATTCCTTCAGTAGGTATTTACAGAGAGTCTCTCTAAATGCGTTAGACACTATTCTTGGCAGTTGGGATACAAAATAGAATGCAAATTCCTGCCCTTAAGAGATTTATGCTCTAGTGTGGAAAGACACTCAGTGAAGATGAATAAGCAAACTATACCTTTTATTGTGGCAAGTATTAGAAAAAGTAAACGAGTGGAATAAGAAATATCGGGAAAGGGATATCATGATTTAAAAGAGGGTGGCAAGTAGAGGGCTGACTGAAAGGATGGTGTTTGAGCACAAAGGGAGGAAGCCATTATTGGGAGTGTTCTTAGCAGAGGAAACAGCAACTGCAAAGCCTGAGGTTGAGAGTTTGTGTAGTTTTCTTGGAACATAAAGTTAAGTGAGCAGTTTGTGAGGTCAGAGGGAACAAGGGAAGCATCTTACAGCCATTGTTAGGGACTCTGGGTTTTACTTCATTTTGGAATTCCATGGTAGACTGAACAGACGGGTGGTTTGATCTTTCATTTTTATGTTTACTTTGACCTCTGTGTTGAGAATAGACTCCAAGGAGAGCAAAGACAGGAGCAAGAAAATCAGTCCCTGGGCTGTTACAATAATTAAACAAGAGATGATACAGGTTGTATTAGAGATGTTTTAAAGGAATAGCCAATAAATTCTTGGCAAAATGGATCTGGGACATAAGAGAAAGAGAGGACTAAAATTAGTGGATGTGGCTGAGAGAGGGTTTGAAACTTGGAAGGGCATTTCAGTGGGATTCTTGTTAATTCCTTTCTTGTGTGCAGATGAAAAGATGAGTAGATAAACAGATGGGATAAAAATTATATTATTTATTTAGAGAACCTGTTCTAAATACATGCCTAGAACCAAATAACTGAGTAACTTTTCCTAAACTGAAAGTATTTATGGATCAGGAAATACACCTGTGTTGTGATCCTGGCTTTATCTTAAACTAGAGAGTCTTTAAGCAAGTCTTTTACCCTTATTATATCTATTTCTTAGTTGATAAAATGAAGAATTTGGATTAGGTGAACTTCTGTAGTCCCTACCTGGATTCAAATCCAAGATGTGCCTGTTTCTGTAAAATGGGAATAACAATAGTACCTACCTCATAGTTGTAAGGTAATACATTAAAGTACTTAAAACAATGCCTTACACATTGTTAGTTAATACTAGTATTATATCTTCAAATTGTAATCTTTAAGTATTTATCAAATTTTTGCTATTATTTGTTCATGGGGTGTGTAGGACAGAGAGGTAAAACTAGCTAAGGAGAACATAAAGATAGGGGATTAAGCTTAAAGCTGGAGAACATACACTTTAATATTTCTACATTTATAGAGGTTATTAAAAAAAGAAATTGCTTTAGCTAACATGAGAAAACATCACTGAGCTAGATGGTACTCTTCAAGAATTGGTTCTATACTGATATACATGAATTAAGGATCTTGAAATAAATTGATTTCAGAGAAATAAAAAGAATACATACTTATATATATATATATATATAAGAACACTGAAAATTTCCAAATCTGATTAAGTAGTGAATGAGATCTCAAAATGCAACAGAACTACAAGTACGAAGATACTGGCATGGACTGTTAAAATACACATTATTTTTAAACACAAAAAGCATGCTCTTCCACCTTCTCCATTTTACACAATTAAGAAAACACAGTCAGTTCCGAGGAAAACACTGTATACGCTAAAATGAAATGGAGGATACTGTCATTGTTTTGAAGTTTTAAAACCACATTCATAAAACAAAATATGACATTTTTTTAGTTTTATATTCTTATTGTTTAATCTCTTCCTTCAGCTTCCCGTGTCCTAGCCTAAGAAAAATGGGTCTAAAAGGAAAGTTAGATTTTTTCCCAATTAAACTTATTAACCACTTAGAGCGTGAATAAATTATAACGTCGTAGAGGACCCCTTCTGTCTCCACCTTTGGAAAGAGAACAAGTACTACTTTGCCAAGAACTCTTCATCCCCAAATCCTGGCTAGGCGGCCAAGGGCTTCTTCTGGGTCTCGAAAAGCTGGTTTCTCAGCAGCACCACCTGCTGGTCCTACACGGGTCTCACTTCCTCGGCCCATAATCTTTCGGTGGTGGACCTGCCTTCTTTCACAGAGTCATTCGCACCTCTTACAAGTAAAGCAGAAAATAGCAGTTAGAAGGATGCAGGCAGGAAAACGAGGGTACCCAGCACCGCGTTTCAAGAACCCGGTTTGGGGAGACAGGGCGGGGAGGGACCGGCGCCCGGATGCGGTGCGCTGCTTCCGCCCCGCGCTGCCCCGCCCCTCGCGGCGCCACAGTCTGTCACGTGACGGCCGCGCGCGTTCCCGGCCCCTGCGGGCTCAGAGGCCGAAGAGAAAATCCTCCGCGGCGGTAGCCGCTGTAACCGGAGAGGTGGGAGTTGCGGCTAGGTCCTCGCTGGGGAAGGGTGAAAGTCAGCCACTCCAGGATCCTAACGCGGGCAGAGTGACGACTCACGGTGTCACCGCCGCTGCAACGCGCTCCGCATCGGCGCCGGGCCTGCGGGGCGGCGGTGGCGGCGGCGGCGGCAGCGGCGGCGGCAGCGGGGTCAGGGGCCGGTACGTGGGTGGACGCCCTTGGACCCGCGCGGTGGCAGCTGTGGCGGCCGGGTGGGATGGTACAGCTGCGCCTTTCCCGGCGCCCCCACCCCGGCCGCGGTCGCAGGCGAGAAGACTGGGACGAGCTCTGCGGTACCCGCGGCCGCCGCAGCCCCTGCCCTGGGCAACGGCCGGGAGCTGGTCACGGTTGGGGTGCAAGAGGCGGAACAGCGGCCATTACCGCGCATCCTCTTCCGCCGGGGCCCTCGGTTTTGCTTTTCGTGGCAGCCTGGTCCCTCTCCTCGCCCCTCGGCAGTGGTGCCAGGCCTCTTCCCGGGGGCCTTCTGGCCACAAGCTTTAGAGGCGGCAATAGTTTGGGGACTGTCCTGCGCTCTGTTTCCCATATGGAGGCCTCTGCCCGGGCCTTTGCTCGGTCCCTGCGTTTTGTCATTTTCCGGAGTGTCTTTGGCTGCTATTTCTGTTGCTTCTCTCCCTTCTGTTCCTGCCCAGTGTCTCGGTCTTGCCTAATACGAAGAGCAGTTCTACACCTTGTCCTGGTTAAAGCCAGCGCTGCTTGGTCTTTGTTGTTTGATGAGACATTAATTGACAGTTAATACCCATTGAGCCTCTAAAACCTCAGTACGTCCTAAAAGCGGAGGCCTTTGTTTTGTTGTTCTGGGTGCTGGTGCGGAGTTCTCACCCCATTTGCTATCCCGTCTGAAAGAGTACAGGTCTTTATTGCTGTTTTATTTTCCGTAGGAGTCTGTAGAGGTTGCAAAACTGTCTTTTGAGTTTACAACTAGATCTTTTTTTACCCTTGATAATTTCGTATGTTTTTATTTTCCCTAAGTGCCATTTTAAAGGGCACTTCTTTCCTCAAGTTTCGGTAGTACGTATATTTTGTTAAATAGTGTTTCTGTAATATTGAAACTGTGGAATTGAGGGGAGAATAAAGCCAAGAAATGACTGAAAACGTTTGTCGTTATATGATTGACATTTCAAGTACCGGGGGCGCACTCACTCCGCTCCAGTGTGAAGTATAGCATTGACATTGAAAGCAGTATGTAATTACAGCAGTTGGAATACTTAAAACTTTTTGTCTTTTTGATAAATGAATCTATATTTAGAGTTTTAAAAGATGTGTTATGTAGGACAAATGAAAATGACCCACTCAAATAACAGGATTTATGATGTTAGCTTTGCTGTTTTTGTGAACAGCAGATACTGTGTTGAGTGGGCGCTCTTAAAAACACACGCAAGTAGGTCAAGTAAATCACATTTTAAAGAGAAAACCAAGAGTGAAAGCCACTCTAGAAGTAGATTTTGTATGTGTGTGTTTTAGTTATATATGCCTTAAATTGAGCGTTTTGTTAAGCCTGATCTTTGATTTAGAATTTGTGTTGCAAGTGGACTAAGAGTAAGTTGTGGGTGAAATGAAAATAATGGCAAACATTTGAAGGTTTTTGTTTTTCCTTGTTGTTAAAAAGTTGGTAGAAATACAATAATCGTGAAAACTATTTTTCCAAGTAGCTGATCATTAGGTAAGTGGAAGAAAAAAAGAAATGGCCTTTTTCCTTTTAGGAGACGTGTCAATTGGTGAACACTTTGTTTTCAGTTTCCACCAACTTGAATTGTCAGAAGAATGGGGCAGATTTTTTTTTAAAGGATTCAAAGGTTTCTTAGCAGAAGAAAAAGAGCGTATTAAATCTTTTCACAATATTGATCTGGTTAGAAAATACTATTTTATGTATTAGTCATTCATGAAATGCCTGACACACTGTTAATTGGGTATTTGAAGGCCTCCCCCCCAACCCCCCAGTGTTACTAACAGAAAGTGTCTTTTCCATTCTCTTGCACGGTTTTTGAATGTGGCTAAGGAACCTGTGTTTGTCAAATAGGCTGGATCAAGAACAGTCTTTGGTAGGTATGAAAACCGCCTTACTAACATTCTGCTACAACCACCTGTGCTTATTCATGGACTATTTAGTGTTCATGGGTTAATTACCTTTTATTAGAACAAGACTTGTTAAAAGTCTGTTAATTGAGATTTTCAGAAATACCAAGTAGGATGAAATAAGACATGGGAGTTTTTACTTAACCAAGGTCACAAGATAATTAACAGCAGAGCCTTTCTTATTTGCAAAATGACTATGAAACTTGTGTTTGATTTGACTAATAGACAATATTTGTTCACATTTATTGTTCATGTTTTGTTAAAATACAAAATCCACATTTTGGGGGAGAAATCTAAAGATTAATGCATGAGTGTGATGACTGTGAAGGCCAGAGATGGCATACAGTAATGTTTCTTAAGAGAAATGCTATACAGTGAGGGAAATAATTATTTTCAGTAGAATACTGTAAAGTATCGGACCTTATTTAGTTCAAAGAAGTTTTGACTGAAGACTTTTTTCCCCCGCAGTATGACCTGTGCTTCCTGTAACCCAAGTTTTAATGGGATTAGAGGAAGAGCTAAAAATGAGACATTAGGGCATTTAGTTACATCTCTCAATTTGGAACTCTTTTTTAAGAAATAATAAGATGTACCTGCTAATTTTTATAGAATCTCCCTATTCTTTTTTCTTTCTCTTTCCTTTCTTTTTTTTTGAGTTTGTATACCAAAAATTGGAAGGTTTGGAATTTTGAAGTTTCTTTCTGACCTTCATAGAACATTTCCTGTTTTTATGTTTGGGAGTGAAGAGTAAAAACTACTTTATTAAATATTAGCTTTTAGTAATTTGAAAATACAAGAAGTCTTCAAATCTTTAAATTTTGATATTTTAACTTATATGCTTATCTTTTTCTTTGGTTATTTCTTTTTAAAAAAGGTAACATTGAATCTTATCTGAAAAAGAACTTGATTTTTTTTTTTACCTTGTGAACTGACTTGAAAAGTGGAATTTTAATTAATCCTAGACATTTTCAGAGAAAATAACAACATAGGCAAATAATAGGGATGTGAATTTGTTGAGGTCACAAATCATAAATAGTACAATTTACTTCAGATTCATTTGTACTTATTTAATTGGGTAAATGATTTAAATTCACTGATAATTTCTAAACTCTTTTATGTATTTTTAAATTTAGCCTTTGTTTTTCATTTCTCCAAAATTGTTGAGGCAGAAATACTTGAGTTTCAAATCTTTTCCATTTTTGTGTTACTTTCCTAATAGTTCATTTCTGTATAGATTCACACCTAAAGAAGGAACCTTAGCCCATTAACCAACTGGTATTTGCATGTCAGAATATGCTAATTTTTACTGTAGTAATTCATAAATTGTATTGAATTTGGTGTATAATTTATAAATCATTCATTGCAGCAGGAATTATGTATGTTTGAATTATTTATGTTTGCCACATTAATTCTGGCTTGTAGTTAGAATTACACTACTCTCTCGTGTTTTTGGTTGAAAGTAAAAGCCCCCCATCCCTACTCCATTTTAGAAAAATCTTTGATTTCAAATGTAAAAGTTTTCTGAGCGCTACTTCACCTGACCATTCTGAACATTACATGCCGTGCCCTATGTTGTGCCCAATTGGAATCATAATTCTCAGAGGTCATAGTTAATCAGTTTGGCAGAATTAGGACCAGTATTTATGCCATTTTATTTTTTATCTGTGCCAGCAAATGTGTGGATAAAGCAACATGGAGTTCATTTTCTTTATTCAACGATTCTTAGACTAAATTGCCAGTTTTATGTTTAAAAAAATGTCGATAACGCAAGACATTTCAAACCTCTATCGCTCAGTGTGGTAGCCACTACCCACAGCTATTGAGCCACCTGATATGTGGCTAGTTTGAATTGAATTGTGCTGTAAGTGTAAAATACACACCAGGTTTCAAGGAGTATATATATATATACACACACACATACCCAAGAATGTAAAATAACATGATAATAATTTCTGCATATTCAGTGTGTGTGGAAATGGTAGTGTTTTATATGTGTTGGGTTAAATAAATTACTTAAATTAATTTTACCTGTTTCTTTTTATTGTTCTTCATGTAGTTAATAGAAAATTTGAAATTACATAATGCAGCTTGCATCATATTTTTATTCAATAATAGAATCTTCTAGGCCTTTTCTTTGAGATATAGTACATGAAAAAAAATTTTTTTGAAGATGACACTGTTTGAGTCTCATTGCCCCGTATGGATAGCTTTGGTTGTATCCTTGTGGACTTGGGTTTCCTCATTTATAGAATAGGTAAAGTGTATCTTAAAGAGTTGTTGAGAGGATTCAATGATACAGTGTGTCAACTAGTGCTTCCTGAGCTTTCTTTCATACAAGTATGAATCACCTGGAGATCTGATTCTGTGGTGAGGAGTTGGGGCTTCACATTTTTCATTTTTAAGAAACTCCCAAGTAATGCTGATTTTACTGGTTGGGACCACAGTTTGCATAGCAAGGATCTAGATTACTACTTAAGTTTAGTTTGTTTTCCTTTCCCAACCAGTATTATCCATTTAGAGTCTACTTTGCAAATTATACAGGGCAGATAGGAATTGGAAAAGTCACCATAGCTTGCAAGATTTACTAAAATTGTTTTTATTCTTCAATTTTTATCTGCCTTCTGGACAATTCATTGCTAGTGAACAATAGCTGTGTAAATCATGTGCTTGTCAAAAAGTAAAGGTGGCTTGGATCTTATATTTGTAGTAACCCCCTCTGTTAGATTTTAATATCTTAAAAAATAGTGGAACTTAGATATTATGTCTTTTGTGGCTGGGTGCTCTGTTCACAATTAGAACTCAAGTGTTGTATTATGTGAATAAATTTAGTTTTTCAATATTTTAATTCAAGAAAGCTCAAGTCAAAAACTGATTGGCAGTTTACTAGCCACTTAGAGATACAAAAACAGTATCTTCAGAAGACTCATGGTTTGTTTAATAGAAGAGTCACAAACCAGTACTTTCAGTGCCTACAAATTTACTAATAGAAGAATGTACAAAATTTAGGGGAAAGAACAATTTTTTGAATGTTGAGAAAGTGGTAGTAGCTATAAAGGAGACTATAAGCAGGAGGAAATACTGAACTGCAAGAAAAGTTTGGAGAACTATGAGTAACGGGCCATAAGTAGAGTATTAGTCTGTGTGAGTGGTTGTGGGAGATAAATAAGACTAGAGAATTATTTAGGTTTCAGGTCATTAAGGCCTTTGTTGTCCTGAGGCGCTTTGTTGTATGGAGAGTCAATATAGGGCTTCACTTACAGAGGTCCATTTTGCCTTTTAGTTATATCACTCAGAGGCTTACTGAATCAATTTGAGAGACAATGCTGAAGCAATATAATCCTGCTGAACAGTAGTCCAGATTAGCAATAATACAAGTCTAAACTAGGGCACTAGCAATGGCAAGGGAGTAGAGGATAGATTCCAAAGGTATTAGGGATGAAACTTGACAGAATTTGGTTTGGTTATGGTGGGAGGTGAGAAAAGTAATTTTGTTTTTCTCTGTCAGCACTCCTTGGTTAAGGCATGGAAGCTGTGATGTCAAATTGTAGGATTCATGCAGACATGAAGGTTTGTGGAGTATGTGTAGTTGTTGAGAGAAATGACAGAAAGAGCCAGGGGTTCTCTTAAGAAAGAAGTTAAAATGGTTAGACTCCAGATTGGGCAAGAAAGGAAAGGAGATCAGGAACTGGATAAAGGAAATGACATGTTCAAAAGACTCGAAGTCCCCGTGAAGTAAAAGAGCAGGTGTGGGAATGAGTGAGTAAGTGAGTTGGAAGGACCAGAGCTTGTGACCTGATAATGAGATTAAGATTTTAGAGAGGCTGCAGTTTTAGGTGTTACCTAGTTCCAATGTGGTCATAATTTGCTGGAGGGGGAGTGGTGTAGTTCACTGACTTTAGGATTTTAGGAATTTAAAACAGGACAGTGTTTTCTCCAGTTTATTTGACTGACTACCTGCATCAGTATTACTTGAGGTGAGATTCCTGGGCTTAAACGCATGCCTAATGGTTTAGAAGCTCCAGGGTTAGGGCTTCAGAATGCATATTTCTAAAATGCAGCCTCAGTGGGACAAGTTTAAGAACCTCTGAGTTAGGTGTTGGATGGTTCATTCTCCGAGATATTTAAATAGGTTCATAGTGATGTGTCAGGCCTTAGGATGAAAGGATGACCAATAGTGAGATTAAGTCAATGCCTTAATGATTGAGAGAATCCCCTATAGGAGATTGTAAATGATAGACACTTCAAAGAAAAAGTGTTTTTGTTAAAGAGTAATGATGTTAGAATGGTGAAATGTTTCCTCCTATTCTGTGGGTAAAGAGGGGCAGTTTCTGTTTTGGCTAGGCCTCAGGAGGGAAGTAAATGGTGACTTCTGTGGTGCCATTGAAGTTATTGGCATCTAGAGGGAGGGTAAGGTGAAAGAGTTTGAGGCAAAGATGGACAGTGGAGGCTACACTATGTAAAGACAAGTTCTAAAGTCAGAGTGAAACAAAAAGATTATTTAGAAAGCCTTTTTAAGTAAGTTATTTTTGAAAGTTCTCCAGTTTTGAAACAATACTTGAAACATTAAAAGAACTGTTGGATTAGACATTTGATGGCATAATTTGGTTTATATGTAAAGACCATGCATTATATTAAAAATGTTTATCTTCAAACACTAAAATCCCAGATTTTTTAGGGTGATAGATTCCCACCATAGGAGAGGCACATGGAACTGAAAGAAGATTGAAGTCTCTGATCTTGTGGTTACTGTGAACTCCGCCATCTCTAGTCCACATGTATGTTTGACTCTTGAGTCAAGAGGATTAATGGGTGAGGCGATGTTTTGGTTGATGCCTCTGGATTCTTTGGACAAGAGGTATCTTGAAAGAAGGTTGGCTTACTGGTTGAAACCTTGTATATACATATAGATAGCAGGAGGTCCAGTTAATATGATGGCCTGGTCTTAGCACATAGTACTTCCTTGAAGGAAAGTGGTAACAATGGAACACGTTCCATAAGGACTACTCTGTCCATATAAAATTTGTTTCACTTAAATTTATTGTGGTAAAATATAAATAACAAAATTTACCATTTTAACCACACTTAAAATAAGTGTACAATTCAGTGTCGTTAATTACCTTTACAATGTCGTGCAACCATCACCACTGTATTTCTACAATTTTTTCATCACTTCAAACAGAAACTCTATTCATTCAGCAATAACTCTCTACTTAACCCCTCTCCCCAGCCCTGTAATGTACTTTCTAATAACCTCTAATAGATTTTTTGTCTCTGAATGTATCTGTTTTCACTATTTCATATGAATGGAATCATAACATTTGTTCTTTTGTGACTGGCTTATTTCATTTAGCATGTTTCCAAGTCTCATATATATAGCATGTATCAGAACTTCATTTTGTTAAGGGCTGAATTCATTGTATTTATATACTGTTTTGTTAATCCATTCTTCTGTTGATGGGCACTTGGGTTGTGTCCACCTTTTGACTTTTGTGAATAATTTTGCAGTGAACATTGGTGTCAAATATCTGTTTAAGTCCGTGTTTTCAGTTTTTTTGGGTATATACCTGGGAGTGGGACTACTATAACATATGGTAATTCTATGTTTAATTTTTTTGAGGAACCACCAAACTGCTTTCTATAGTGACTGAACTATTTTCATTCCCACCACCAAGGGTTCCACTTCCTCTATAACCTCATCAATGCTTGTTGTTTTCCTTTTTTCTTTTTATTATAGCCATCCCAATAGATATGAAGCATCATATAATTGTAGCCTTGGTTTACATTTCCCTAATGACTAATAGTGTTGGCCATCTTACAAGGTATTTATTGACTGTTTCTATATATATTTTTGAAGCTATGTTTATTTAAGTAATTTGCCTATATTTTAATAGTTTTTATGGGAGGGAGGAGTCTTTTTGTTGTTGAGTTGTAGGAATTCTTTCTATATCGTGCATATTAAACCCTTATCAGATGTCTGATTTGTAAAGATACTCTTCAATTCTGTGGGTTCTTTTTTTTCTACTTGCTTGACAGTGTCCTTTGGTGCATAAAAATTACTGATGATGAAGTCCAATTATCTATTTTTTCTTCTGCTCATCTTTTGGTGTCACATCTAGAAATCATTGCCAATCCAAGGCCATCGAGATTTACTTTTGTGTTTTCTTCTGAGAGTTCTATGGTTTTACCTCTTAAATTTAGGTCATTGGTCCATTTCAAGTTAATTTTTGTGTATTGTTTGAAATAGGTGTTCACCTTCATTCTTTTGCATGTAGAATTTTAATTGTCCCAGCATTTGTTGAGTACACTATTCTTTTGCCATTGAATGGATTTGACACCCTTTTTAGAAGTCAGAAGTATTAGTTTATTTCTGAACTTTCTTTTCTGTTGATGTATTTGTCTATACTTATGCCAATACCACATGGTATTTGTAGTTAAGTTTTGATATCGGGATGTGTGAGTTCTCTAACTTTGTTGTTCTTTTTTAAGATTGTTTTGACTGTTGGGAGCCCCTTGCAGTTCATATGAATCCGAGGATTCGCTTTTCCATTTCTGCAAAAAAAGCTGTTTGGATTTTTATAAGAATTAGTTGGATCTGTAGATCACTTTGAGTAGTATTGTCATCTTCATGGTCTTCCAATCCATGAACACCAGTTGTCTTTCCATTTATTTAGTTCTTCAGTATCTTTCAGCAGTGTTGTATAGTTTGCAGCATACAAGTCTTTCAACTCCTTGGTTAAGTTGATTCCCGTACTTTATTCTTATAGATGGTATTATAGATGGAATTGCTTTCTTGATTTCCTTTTTGGATTGTTGACTGCAAGTTACAGAAACAGAACTGACTTTTTTGTGTATTGAACTTGTAATGTGTAATTTTGCTGAATTTGTTTATTACTCTAGTAACTTTCTTGGAAATTCTTTCGGATTTTCTATATAGAGGTCTGTGTAGATAGTTTTACTTCTTTACCAGTTTCATATCTTTTTCTAGTCTAATTGCTCTATCTAGACCTTCTGGTAGCAGTGGTGAAAGAAGTCATTCTTGTCTTGAAATTTTTCCACTTCTAAGATAAAATTTGCCATTGAATTTTGTTAAGTGAAAGATCATACATAATAGATTCTGCTAATCTTAATCTGTGGAGGAGTTGATGTTGAAATTTTTTCTTTTGCAGCACAGGATGAACCAGCAGTGGAAGAAAAAATCCTGCAAACTGGCTGACTGCCAGTGAAGATGTCTTATTTTTATGACAAGCATCTGTGGGATCTGTAATAGAAATGTAAGTATGGCATCATGGTTTTTCCAAAACTGCATTAAATTGAGTGAACTGGTGTAACGTGCAATAAATCAAGCATCTGCCATATTTAGTTCTAATTATACCAATGAGCATTTGTATTGACTTTGGCTGTTGTATTGAGTTAGCAGTTTTATTCACATTAAATTATTGTTCATGTAGATTTCCAAAAGTTTCTATAAAAAGTGAAACTAAAGATGGACAAATTTGTTTATAGAAGGCTAAAAACTTGGAAAGACCTCCAGGTCTTCTGGTTCTACTTTCTTTTTACATAAATTTCGTAAATTATGTAAACATCCAAGCAAGGCAGCCAGTGTCAGTGTTTACAAATAAGAGGAACTGATGGGTCACAGAACACTAGTTGTTAAAAACTTTATTAACTGAATTGATTTTTTTAAAATTCTTGTTTTAAATGTTTTAGTACATTATTGCATTTTAATTCATACTGAATTTACTGTAGTCCTCAGTTTTTCTAGTTTTCCTATCATTTAGATTTTGTGAAATACACTTTAAAATATTTCAAAACCTCCATCTTTCCCATATTGAATTTGATTCTTCTGTATTTGACAAAACATTTTTACATGATGAACATCGTATTTCTGTGTTCAAAGTTAATTTGAACACTGTCCAATATGATGTCACTCATGAAAATTGCAGTGAGCATTTTACTGACTTTTACAGTCATGGTGATGACAATGTTTAAAAATACTGGACCAAAGTGTGAGCCTTGTAGATACTGTTTCACATGTTCTCCCAGTTTGACATGTGACTATTGCTGTCTACTTTCTAAAATGATACTTTGATTACACACTCCCATTAAAAGTATGACCATATCATTCTTAGTGTTGAGAATTTAATACAAGAAAAATGAAACCAATAAGCATTTTTCTTTAAAATTGGGGCAGAAATATCCTTTATTTAATCCTGTTCCTGTGTTACCTGTCTGTATACATATCTGTATATTTTAATCCTGTAGTTCAGAATAGTCTAGGTGCTGGCCATCAAGGAACTAGACTGTGGTCTAGTAACTGAGACAGATACAAGATTAATAATTAAACAGTGGAAGAAATACCATATTGAGGTAACAGCAGCATGCTTTTGGAACTGAGAGGATTTATTCCATCAGAAATGTTCACAGTGAACAGAATTTTTGGCTAGATCTTAAAGAATGAATAGAATTTTAGTTTTGTTAAAATTAAATTTGATTTAATTTTAATTAAATCTGAGAATCTGAGAAAACCAGGGAATATTTTTCAAACCAGGTGAATGAGGAGATGCTGGCTACCTAAAGATCTAGGCATCTTTAGACAGTCAGGGAGGAGTCCTATGTAGGCAAGTGAGGTAAGAGAGAGAGACTTCAAAGTTAGTAAAGGAAATGAGTGTTTATTTAGTACCTACTGTATTGCCAGGTGCTTATGGGGGTACTTTGCTTGGATTATTAAATTTAATCACTGAAAGATCATTTACTGATGTAGAAATAGAATTAGAGAGGTTAAGTCATTTGTCCTAGGTCAGTGTTTACTAAATTTGTCTGAGAATAATCCCCTAGGGAGCTTGTTGAAAACATATTTTTAGACTCTAACCCAGATACATGCAAATTTCCAGGGGAGAACAGATTGAAATTCTTAACCTTTAGAGATGTTTGGGAAATGCTGTTGTAGGACAACACTCTGAGAATAAATGATGAAGCCAGGATTTTAACTAAGTCTGTTTTACTCTGAAGGCTCTATCAATGTACTTGAATGCCAATGCTTAGGAATTTGGATGACATTATGTAGGCAGTAGAAAACTATTGAGTGAGTGGGGACAAAAATAATTAGATATGACTAAACTGAGAACAGATGTGAGGAAAAAAGGATTGAAATTAGGGAGGCCACTTGGGAAGTCAGTGTTCTATCCATGAGGCCAGAAATAGGGTTACAGGATTTGAGAATGAAGAGTACGCATTCTAAAGAAGTTTCTGTCATAGAAAAAAAAATGGTCGGGGAATAGGGGAGCACTGAGGTCGGCTTCCAAATTTTATCCAAGACAGAGAACAAAGGAAGAGGAGCAGATTATTTTGTTTTTAACTGTGTTTGAGTTTAGGTGCTTGGAGAATATGAAGGTAAACTTTTTGAATACAGAATTTTTTCGGTGGAACAGTTCTGGATATTAGACATTGAGAGTCATGTATATGTATGTATGTATGTATTTGAAATATTCAGTAGATTGTTGCAACATCTCTGACACCAAATGCCATGGTGTATTTTTTCCCTGCACATATATATATATATATTGTTACTGTTATATATATATATATATGTATATATAACAGTAACAACATTATACACAGCAGTAGTATTACTTCATTTGGGTACTTGGACCCAATTCCAGTATGTGTAAGTATGTGGGAGGGGTGTCCTCCCACACATATTTACATCAAGCAATGCTCGAACACCAGCAGGCTGTTGGGGAACTCAACTCAATTCTGATGCTATCTGCCTGAAAGAAGCACCAGGTTCCCAGGTTAAGGGTTCTGTCCTGCAAGACTGCCTTCCACCCCACACACTAGACACCAGTTGCAAGCCCCGGGCAGTTACCTGTGCTTCTACAGATTGGAGGTTCCCACGACCTCCTCCTTAGGTTCAATTAAGCTGCTAGAGTGGCTCACAGAACTCAGGAAAACACTTAACTTATATTTACCAGTTTAATAAAGGATACAAGTTAACATCCAGATGAAGAGAGACATAGGTCAAGGTCCTGAATAGAGGAGTTTCTATCATCATGGAGGTTGGGGCCTAGCTCGGTGGCATGTGGAGGTATTCTGGTTCCCCAAGCACAGAAGCTGTCTCTGACCAAGCAGCAGGATCCGACCGAGCAGAGAGAGCACTGAGAGCTCTTTGTGAGGGCTTCATTGCATAGTCATGATTGACTGAACTATTGACCGTTGGCTGATCCAACCTCCTGCTGCCGCCCTTGGGTGGGGGTTTCAAAAGTCTCTCATTAAAATGACAAAACACACATTTCAACTTTAAGACTCTGCAGTGTTTTCAGGAACTGTGGATGAAGACCAATAATACCTGGGAAATAAGTATTTCTTATAACTCATCATATCACAATTGTCTAAGTATAGAATGTAGTGTGAAAAATAGGACCACCCACAGAGTCTTTGGGAGGAATACTGGTTTAAGGGAAGTTAGAGAAGATAAACAAAAATGAAACAGGAGGCCAGCATCACTATACTACCACAATCAGAGAAAGACACCACAAAATGAAAATTACAGACCAATAACCCTGATGAACATAGGTGCAAAAATCCTCAACAAAATTTTAGCCAGCCAAATTCAAAAATACATCAAAAAGATAACACATCATGAGCAAGTGGGATTTATTACAGGGATGCAATGATGGTAACAATATTTGAAAATCCATCAACTTCATACACCACATCAGCAAAAAGGACAAAACTCATATGATCATCTCAATGGATACTGAAAGTATTTGACAAAATTCAGCATCCATTCATGATAAAACTCTTTTAACAAAATGGGTGTAGAGGGTAAGTACCTGAACATAATAAAGGCCATATATGACAAACCCACAGCCAACATCATACTTAACAGGGAAAAGCTGAAAGCTTTTCCTCTAAGATCGTGACCAAGACAAGGATGCCCACTCTCACCACTGTTACTCAACATAGTACTGGAGGTCCAAGACAAGGCAATCAGACAACACAAAGAAATAAAAGGCATCGAGATTGGTAAGGAAGAAGTTAAACTGTCACTGTTTGTAGATGACATGATATTGTACATAGAAAACCCTAAACAATCCACCAAAACCTACTAGAACTAATGACTAAATTCAGCAAAGTTGCAAGATACAAAATTAATACACAGAAATCTGTTGCATTCCTATGTACTAATGATGAACTAGCAGAAAGAGAAATCAAGAAAACAATACCATTCACAATTGCCTCAGTAAGAATAAAATACCTAGGAATAAACCTAACCAAGGAGGTGAAAGACCTATACCCTGAAAATTACAAGATACTCATGAGAGTAATTAAAGAAGATACCAATAAACGGAAATACATCCCATGCTCATGAGTAGGAAGAATTAATATTGTCAAAATGGCCATCCTGCCTAAAGCAATCTACAGATTCAATGCAATCCCTATCAAAATACCAACAGCATTCTTTAACAAACTAGAACAAAAAGTTATAAAATTCTATATGGAACCACAAAGATCCTGAATAGCCAAAGCAATCCTGAGAAGGAAGAACAAAGCTACAAAGCTGAGGGGATTACACTCCCTAATTTCAAGCTCTACTACAAAGCCATAGTAATCAAAACAATTTGATACTGGCACAAGAACAGACCCATAGATCAATGATGGAATAGAATAGAGGGCCCAGATATAAAACCACACATATATGGCTAATTAACATATGATAAAGGAGCCATGGATATACAATGGGGAAATGACAGGCTCTTCAACTACTGGTGTTGGCAAAACTGGACAGCTATATGCAAGAGAATGAAACTGGATTACTGTCTTAACTCCATACACAAAAGTAAAATTGAAATGGATCAGAGACCTGAATGTAAGTCATAAAACCATAAAACTCAGAAGAAAACATAGTCTTGAATATAAACATGAGCAGCTTTTTCCTGAACACATGTCCTCAGGAAAGGGAAACAAAAGCAAAAATGAAATGGAACTACATCAAACTAAAAAGCCTTACATCAAAGGACAACATCAGCAGAACAGAAAGTATCCTATAATATGGGAGAATATATTTGTAAATGACTTACCTGGTAAGGGGTTAACATCCAAAATATGTAAAGAACTCACACCTCAACACCCAAAAAACAAATAACCCAATTAAAAAATGGGCAGGGGATCTGAACAGACACTTCTCCAAAGAAGAAATTCGAGTGGCCAACAGGCACATGAAAAGATGCTCCACATTGCTAATCCTCCAGGAAATGCAAATTAAAATCAT